GCCCCCCCCCCTCTGTTTCAGCTCGCCTGCCCTTCAAGCGCCTGAACCTTGTCCCAAAGGAGAAAAGTGAGGACGCGTCGGATGACACGAGGAGCCCTGAGGGTGCCCCTGCACAAGGCCGAGTCCCTCATCTGGAGACCTCTTTGGACAACTTGGAGAACAGCTGTCATATGGGTTCTGACATAGATTTTAATCCAAAACTTGTCAATGGGAAGGGTCCCTTAGATAACTTTTTAAGAAGTACAGTCAAAACCAGTATTGACCAGACCACGGTCATCACCGATTTGACGGAGGACTCGAGTGACCAGCTAGATGGCGTCGCGGCCCTTAGTAAACTAAAGTCTGCTGCCTCTCCCTCCGAGGAGGCCGTGAGTGGGGCCGGAGAAGAAGCTGGAGGTGAGAGGGGGCTGCCGGAGGCCAGTCTGAAGGACGAGCTGACGTGTCCTGAAGAGACCCTTTCAGACATTCCATGCAAAGCAGAGGAGGAGGGTGCTGGCTCCAGAGGTGCAGAGAGGAGTGGAGAGGGGCAGGAAGGCTCGTTCCAGAGCTGCCCCGAGCTGGCAGGTGGTCTGAGAACATGCTCCGAGAAGGACCAGGACGGTTGGAGTGAAGCCAGGGGCATCCTGTTCAAAGGGAAGGTGCCCGTGGTGGTCTTGGAGGACATACTGGCTGCAAAACCTCCCCGAACCAAGTCTCCTCCCACGCCACCTGCAGACCAGGGCTTGCCCTCTGACAGCGAGATGCTGGAGTCCGGCCCCGAGGAAGACTCTGTTCTTAGCCACTCGTCCGGGGGTTCTTCCTCTCCTACCAGCTCACCCGAGGGGCAGTCTGCTCCCAAAAGGCATCCCAGCAGTCCCGGACCCTTCCCCACCTCCACACCCATCCGCAGAGTAAGTATCTCTGCTCAGTGCCAGTGTGGCAGTGCTGACAGGAGTCGCCTGGGACCGCCGTGTCATCCAGGTGCTTGGTGGCCAAGCAGGTGGGGCCGCAAACAGATGCGGAATTCTTTTGATATCCAGAACCATTAGGGGTGTTCGGGGGTGGCTCTGTTAGCCCCCAGTGTGTCAAGTGCCATCTTGGTAGACGTGGTTGTTCACGCCTAATGAATGCTGCTGGTAACTCAGCAGTTTTAGTGACGGAACGGTTGTCAGCAGGCAACCATGAGTCCTCATGGCAAATGTGAGTTCCCTCCATTTCTTCTTCCTGTTCCGAGAGCCCCGTAAGGGTCTTGATGGTAAAAAGTCAGTCAGCGTTGGTGGAAAGGCCCCAGGGCCACAGGAAGGATAAACTGGGGATTCTGTAGGGTCAGCCCTCGTCCGCCTGGCCAGCCATCTGAAACCCTCCCCCAGAGCAGCAAGAACAAAAGAAAAACCTGGCACCGTTTTTTTAGGCCCACAGAAGGATGGCCTCTGAAATGCTTGTTGGTGTCCCCGCTTTGCGATGAGCATGATGACGGCTGTCTCTGTTCTCATCTGCCCATAGGGTCTTGGGGTTGAAACTGGTAATATCAGTCAAGAATCCAGAGGTGTGTTTAACGGTGTTTTGTTTTGGGTTTTTGGGGTTTTTTGTGTTTTTTTTTTTGTTTTTTTGTATTGGTAGAATTTTTGTTTACTTTAGGTTTTTGTTTTTGTTTGTTTTAAGTAAGCTCTATGTCCAGCGTCCGGAGTCACCCATCCCAAGGAGGCTCTGTGCTGTGAGCACTATTAGTGCAGAGCCTGACGCGGCGCTTGGGGCTCGATCCCACGAACCGCGAGATCGTGACCTGAGTTAAAATTAACCAACTGAGCCACCCAGGCGCTCCCCCCGGCCCCCCCCCACTGTTTGTTTGTTTGTTTGTTTGTTTAATGTAAATTAGATCCTGGTTGGATCATTCAATATCTACCTGCTTGATTTGACCTTGCTCACTTTCTGAAATTTGATCTCTGGAGGAAAAATTATTTTTCTAGACGATTCCATGTCATTTATACCCTGAGAGGTGCACGAGAGGAGAAGAAAATCGCTTTCACTTCAGGCTTTCAAAATATCAAAAGTGGAAGTCTTTGTTTTCTTCTAAGTTTCTAAATGTTGCAGATGGATGTACATTTTCAAACTTCCGCCTGAGCCATTAATCAGACTCTCAGAATCAGGGCTGAAGTCCCTTTTTGTTGTCAGCCATCTTGTTTGGGTCAGCCAATCGCTTGAAACCCTTCCATCCTGCTGCTTCCTGTCACATGACGTGGTGCAGCCAGTTAGCCTCCAGAACAGGACGGGTACACGCGTTTCCATTCTTCTTAATCACTTCATTTTTTAAGTTTGTTTTTGTTCCCACAGCAAGGCCCGAGAATCGGGAAGTGACATAGTTGGGCCTTGTCGTGAAACAATTCGGTGTCTGTCTGCTGGCCCACGTAGCACTCCAGACAGCCGAGGGTGCTCAGCTGGGAAGGCCTGCACCTAAGATGCTCGGTCTGACTCTGAACACAGGCTTGCACTTTTGAAATGCTCTAGAAGGCGGTGTTCTCACACAGCTTTGCAAATAATCGTACGCTGTGAGTGGCCAAGGTTCAGATGACCCCAGAGCCTGTGGCAGAAAATTGCCCCTGCCACCCACAGGTGGGCTGGTCCATCACAAGGGTAGAGGTAGCGCCCCCTGATGGCGGTCGACACCAAAAGGATGAGCAAAATGAGGTGATCATGGGGAGCCTCTGGGCGCCCAGAGGGCCACGCAGCCTGAGGAAGTGGCTGGAGACAGACCATTTGCAACGACACCCGCAGCCTTGTACTTTATCGCCTTCCCCTTCTGCAGCAGTTTTCATACCACTGTAACACGTTCGGTTTTATTTGGCTCTATCATTCCTGGAGTTGGTACTGCAAGATTTTTGCATTGGAATCGCTAGGCATTCGCTGGCCCTGTATTGTGTGTGTGTGTGTGTGTGTGTGTGTGTTTCCCTTTCAGGGCACTTGTTAAAATACAGATCCTGTTGTCTCTTCCCAAGGGAGTCTGATGTAGTCTACCCAGAGAGCTTCATTCTGTTGGGGTTTTTGTGTCGTTGTTTTAAGTACTCTCAGGGTTCTAGAGAATCTCACTTTGAAAAAACAGTCATTTATGAACACCTATTTTAAGTAATCCAGGGTCAGATTACAAGTCAGAAACTAGCCAAACGGTTGCTATTTAGCAAGAGTGTTTTACCATTTGGGATAGGATAGAACCATTTCTCAAGTTTGTTTGCATTTTAACTGTCATTGATCCTCCTTTACTGGAGATTCAAGATTATCCTTCCATAAATGATGATGTTGATACAGCTGTGTTCCTGGAATCTTTGCATCTATACAAATGAACCCAGATCGCTGGAACTTTTCCCTGTAGAACTTAAATGACACAAGTATTAAGTTCTTCGTGTTTAAAGAACATAAAGGAAGCATGCCAGTCCTCTCTGGCCCCCCTGTCTCTCCTGGGAGGCTGTCATTTTACGTTTCTCTGTGGTGTATGTGAGGCCTCCCTTGGGAATATACAGGATCATTTTGTTTCCTCACCTGAGCCATGTGCTGTAAATATGTTTTTTTTTCATTCTGGGGTGTGAAATCATTGGGCTGGGATGATGTATCTCTTGTTAGCTGCCATATCTTATACCTCTCGTGTGGACAAACTTTAGCTCACAGACTCATTCTGGTTGGTGGATGGTTCCATTTCTCGTTCTCAGCCAAGACAGAACAATGTGCTTCCTTCTACATGTTTCCTTGGGCTGCTGTGGAGTAGAATTTCGAGGTCCCAGGAATGCACACACTAATTTTTGCCTGCTTGCCCTCGACTATGGCTGGACCAATTTGGGTTGTATCTCTTCCCTGTGATTGAGTTTTTAGCTACTCCTGCATGCCCACTACTCTGCACCTCGTTCGCTGCTGCTTATGAGCTAAGAGATGAGGTCTCCTTATGTATAAAATCAGAACACGTGGCTCTGAGAGGATCCTGCCAAATAAAGTACAAGAATGTTCATGCATCTCGTTAAATCAGTATTGACGACGTGGGATAGTTGATGTGTGTATTTCAGCTTCCGTCTGGGATCGTGGATCTTGTTTTTGGCAGCTGAATTCCAAATAGGTAACACATACGGCCTAGACTTGGAGAGAGCTCCATGAGCACTTGGGCCGAATGTCAAGGAGATAACGTTATATCAGACCAGGAAGGTCCACCTGAGAGCCCAGGGAAGCAATAGATATGGGTTCTGCACGAAATGGTAATTGCTCTGATTGCTGGACGTCCTTAGTCGGCTCCTGGGAATCCTGTCAACTCTGCCGTGCCCGGACTCAGCACGGCGGGAGGGGACGTTGAATTTGCAACTGAAACTCACGAAGTGCGGGCAAGACTGACCCGATGTGCTTTCCCCAGGTGCTCTCGCACAGCAGTCTGGATCACATTCAATACTGTAAATTTGAACGCACAGGACAACGACAGATACAGCAACGTGCAGATTCTGCTGTTCAGTCCTTTATGGTGGGGGTGAGGACCACAGACTTGGCAGGCAAAGTGACTCTGGAGAAGGCAGGTGCTTTCTCTTAAGCCCTTGGTAAAACCGCTTTGGTCACTGGGCGTTTGCGCTGCTACATGCTTAGTGCAGACAGCCTCGAGCACAGTGTGTGTGGCTTTCATATGCCTCTGCTCAGCCATTTCCTAAGGGAAGATGTAATTCACAGTGGGAAGGATGTCTTGTTGAATGTATTGGTCTGTAAGTTTTATCCTGGAAGAGGTTTTGGACTTTCCCAAATAGATCATCGCCATGCAATTTTTGTCAGTGTGTCAGAGCGTTTCAAGAGAAACAGGCCTTTGGTTTTTCAGTTCCACGTCAGTCCCATTTTTTGGCTACCTCTCCAAGGCTCAAGGGAGCCTGGGCAGTTACTGCTTTTCTGGCCTGAGCTCTCTCTCCTCCTGTTTGGCCAGCTGATGATTTGGTTTTCAGGATTCCCCGCTCTGGAGATAGCTTAGGCCAGTAGTCTGAACGTGCTCATTCATACTCCTACCTGAGGTCACGCCGCCAGCCTGGTGAGTGAACCCAGCGGTGCGTCTTGCTGAGTCCTCCCGGCCCAGGCTCGCTTTGCAGCAGGATGATAGGGAATGTCATACTCTAGGATATAGGGGACTCGACCAGATCGCCACCTCTGGCAAGCTGAGCTTTTCTCCTGAACATTCACTCCACGTTCTCAAAGCCGCGCTAGGCAGAGAGCACAGATTGGTGGCTCATGGGAATCCAGCCCATAGATGTGTTTGATTTAATTCATGTAGTGTTAATTTTTACACATTACCTACAAAATTTAAATACAGTTCCCAGCATCACCCATTCTTGGAAAAATCTGAAGGGGCAGGACTGCTGGGCTGCAGGCCAGTAAGAGCTCTGTCCCTTTTGGACGGGGTGCATCCTCTGTCCTCTGTCGCAAACCCTTCTACTCCGTGTCACCTGCCTGACACCGAGGCTGGCTGTCCACTGCATTTATTTTTGAGCCTGCCCTGTTTTTCCTCTGGTTGGCCCCCTTCATTTTTGTCATCTGTCTCCTCAGTCATATCCCCAGAGGCATGGATGTATGTGTTCATTGCAGATCACGACCTCACTAGGACATTTTAGTGTTTTGGTTCTAATTGGTGGAAACTGGTCACTTGGAACGTTGTAGCCTTTTCGTAAAGAAGTTCTTAATCGTGTGAATCCCTTATCCCTACCCCCCTTTCTTGCCCAAAGAAGTGTGTGATTTGTTCTATGTGATGTAGTGACTGAAACAACCCGTGTTGAAAGAGAAACGTCTCTCATTTCAGATAACTAAGAAACTGGTCAAAGCTTCTGCAGAGAAGGACAAGCTCAGACTGCAAAGAGTAAGACATTCCCCTTGAAGTAGAACGTTAACCAGTGCTTTTTGCATTAAACAGTAAGCAAGCGGGGCGCCTGGGTGGCTCAGTCGGTTAAGCGTCCGACTTCAGCCAGGTCACGATCTCGCGGTCCGTGAGTTCGAGCCCCGCGTTGGGCTCTGGGCTGATGGCTCAGAGCCTGGAGCCCGTTTCCGATTCTGTGTCTTCCTCTCTCTCTGCCCCTCCCCCGTTCATGCTCTGTCTCTCTCTGTCTCAAAAGTAAATAAATTTAAAATAAACAAACAGTAAGCAAGGTCCTGTTGTCCCCTTTCCCTGCTTGTCCTGACCATCACTGATAGTTGCTTCATTTCACACAACTGTGCCCTGGGACTCATGGGTCGCATCATTTTTAGCTTTGCTAAATCGTCCGAAGATTTTGCTCATAGACTTTTCTCTTATTATTGTTGTTGTTAGTACTGGCTGGATAGTTGGGCATCCCATTGTGGTTGAGCCTTGCCTTCCAAAGGATCCAGTCCCTCTCCCTGCGTCCCAGGCCCCTTCCCACCTGCCGTGCTGGTTTGGTGGCCACGACACCAGACGGGTGATTCTTGTGCGGCGATCCCTTCTGAGGCTTCACTTCTGTTTTCTGGGGTCACCTCATGTCACACACTGCAAAGCAGAGCACTTTTTTCTCATTGCCGTGGAGGAGAGGGCCAGCGGGCGTCTCCCCCACGCCAGCTGGTGGAAGGGGCGGGCCGTGTGCTCACCGGCTGCTCCCTGTGCCGTGCACCTCACGGTGGCATTCGGCCTTTGTGGGTCAGATCTTGATGGCGTTTTTAGGGTTTATCTCCTTCTTTGTCGGAATCTCCGAGGTGGGGTGGGGACGGAGACGGGGCTCCAGCATGGCTGATTTCCAGAAGCCTCGTCTTATTTAGCAATGAGAAGCAGGGCATCCCCTTGCACAGACACTGTTGGTGTCATTACCATCCCCAGACCAGACACCTTCTTCAAGTGTCCTGTGAGTCACCGGAAGATGCAGAGGAAACGGTGTGAGAACTGGAACAGTCCAGACGTCTCTCATGGCATGCCGCCACGGCTTTTGTTAAAGCAACCAGGGCTTTCTCAGGGCAGAGGGTAGAGACAAGGGCATAGTCATGCGGCTAGACGAAAACTGAGTTGCCAGGGTCCTGATGTTGGGAAACCCATTTCTGATGGAGATGGGCCTTGAAAGTGACCCGTTGCTGTGGCAAAAGGAAGCACCTCTCTGCCTGGCAGGCCAGCTTGTTCAGGAGGAGTTCAAGGTTACAGAAAAGCACAGTGCCTCAGGCCATGTACCGGCTGTTTGGAATGAGGAGCCGATGTAAAGATAAAGTCATTTCTTGCTTTTACTGTTTATTCTCATTTATTTCCCCCTTATTTAGCACATTCCTGCTCCTCATCTCATCCCGTTCTTCCATTTCAGAGGAAATAAAACCCTATAATCTTACATGGTTTGGGGAGAAACGAAAGAAAAATGCTTTTGTTTTAAAGATAGAGAAGTAGAACCTATAGGCATTTCTGTCTGTATTTCATCATGGCTTTCTGGTTAAATAAATGTGGTTGAAGCCTAACAGCGGGTAGCCTGGAGGTGGTTCTTTTTTTTTTTTTTTTAATTAAAAAAATTTTTTTAATGTTATTTTTGATGAGAGAGACAGAGCATGAGTGGGGGAGGGGCAGAGAGAGAGGGAGGCACAGAATCCAAAGGAGGCTCCAGGCTCTGAGCTGTCAGCACAGAGCCCGACGCGGGGCTCGAACCCACAGACCTGTGAGATCACGACCTGAGCTGAAGTCAGAAGCTTAACTGACTGAACCACCCAGGCGTCCCTGGAGGTTCTTCTTTAATCTTTTCTAATTTAGTGAAAAAGAGAGTAACAGTGGCCCATGTTTATACATGGTATTTTGAATGAATCTTAAACTTTCTTTAAGGTTTATTTATTTTTGAGAGAGAGAGAGAGCGTGAGCGGGGAAGGGACAGTGAGGGAGGGAGTCACAGAATCGGAAGCAGGCTCCAGGCTCTGAGCCATCAGCCCAGACAGAGCCCGACGCGGGGCTCGAACTCACGGACCGCGAGAAGCCAGAGGCACACCAAGACTCTTGCTTCGAATTGCCAGCAAGGTCCCTGACAAGGGGCTGGCGGCCCTCACCTTTCTCCCAGCCCCGGGGAGCGGGGGGAGGCGGCTTGGGCGGGCGGCTGGCCCTCTGGGAGACGCGCAGGGGCCCAGCCGCGCCTTGTCTCTCGGCCGCAGGACAGGGAGCGTCTGGGCAAGCAGCTCAAGCTACGGGCAGAGAAAGAAGAAAAGGAGAAGCTGAAGGAGGAGGCCAAGCGGGCCAAGGAAGAAGCCAAGAAGAAGAAGGAGGAAGAGAAGGAGCTGAAGGAGAAGGAGAGGCGCGAGAAACGGGAGAAGGATGAGAAGGAGAAGGCGGAGAAGCAGAGGCTCAAGGAGGAGCGGCGCAAGGAGCGACAGGAGGCGCTGGAGTGCGTGTGCCCTGGCGGGGGTGGGGGGGCGCTGGGGGCGGGAGCGTGCACCCCCAGGCCGCCTGGGACCCTGGAGCGGCCTCTGGCGAGCTCGGGCTGGCTTGGTGTGCAACTGTGCCTCTGGGCTGAAGCTGTGTCTCACGTCTCAGGGCGAAGCTGGAGGAGAAGAGGAAGAAGGAAGAGGAGAAACGGTTGCGGGAAGAGGAGAAGGTAGGCTGTTCTCCCAGGACTGCGGAGTTCAGTCCGCTCGACTGCTGCCCGGTGTTCCTTCGTCTTGGGAAGCCAGGTGGCCCTTGCGGGGACTGCCACGTGTGCACATACCCTCCGGTGGCCGGCAGGCTCCCCGTACTCCGCGCCTGGCGTGGAGATGGGCTGGTGCCCGGCTGGGGCTGGGGTTGGTGGGTTGCGAGAGCAGACCTCAAAGCAATGCTTTCCGCTTAAAAATGCCGGGGCTCCCCTTCCGGGGGCCTTCGGCGTGTCTGCGCACACACGCTGCTTCTCTCCATTTCTTTGTGCTTCTGTTTTCTTCCGTTGCAGCGCATTAAAGCAGAGAAGGCCGAAATCACGAGGTTCTTCCAGAAACCAAAGACCCCACAGGCCCCCAAGGTGAGCAGCCGGCCTCCTCTGGCTTGGCTTTTTGTCTTTGGCCTGCTCCTCCTTTTGAAAATATAAGGGTATCTTCTGGCCAGCTAGCTTCCCTTTCAGCAAGAGGAGGTCCCCGCTTGCCTCCTGGAGGGAGCTCTTATTTCTGGTAGAATCCGGAGGCTCGGTATTTTGTCGTCTCACCAGGCGAAAAGTGTCAGGTTTGCTCAAACTACTGCCAGGTGTTTGGAGGTTGCTGCCTAAACAGTTTTGCCTTAGCAGCTGTCGGGGAGGATGTCTGGGGAGAGCCAGTCCTCGCCCTCAGGGAGCTGACGCTCCAGATGGGAGGCAACACTAGGCACAAAAGGACAGTTCGGAATTCAGCACAGAGTTCGGCTTCCTCGGCCTGGCACCTGTCCCCTTCTACCAGCGTCTGCCTCCAGAGACGCCAGGCTCCCTTCCCCCTCCCTCCATGCTCCGGACGGGACCCATCTCCCCCAGTGCAAGGGTGTCCGTCTAACGCTTTCTCCGCATTCACATCCCTTCATGTGTTTGTGTGTTTATACACGTAATAAGTCACGAACTGTCATGTCCCTGCTTTGTTTTTGTAGCCGTCTCTTGGATTCTCTGTGTGCTGGTACGCTTGGGTCTGCTTGTTCTTTCTATCGCTGCTCGCGCTTTCGTAGTGTGGATGGCGTCGCGGTTTATATGTCCGTTGCCCTGTTGATGCCCCGTCAGGGGCACACGGCGTGTCACTAACACTCCTCTCTGTACCTGTGCCTTCCTTTAGGACAACCACCTCGAAGCGGGCCAGACGCTCGGTTTTTTTAACTTCACTAACCCAATGGGTCAAAAGAAACTGATACCGTTTTTCACTTTACATTTTTCCTTGGTTCCAGTTAGACATCGTTTTGTATTTGTTTACCATTTTCTTCCTTCTGTGATTTGCCAATTCCTATTTTTTACCCATTTTTCTGCAAGGTTGGCTTTTCCTCTGACCTCTGGGAGCTGTTTATGCAGCCAGGATTTTCATTCTTGGTGATACACACAGCAGATACTCCCTCTCGGTCTGTTACCCGCCGTCTAACCTGTTGTACGGAGGTTTTGTTTCAATGGCAACATTGAAGATTTTTTTATTTGCATGTGGTTGCAGAGCCTTGTGTACCCTGTGGCCATAGACAGATACGTTCTCTTTCCCAGTGTGTTCTGTTTTTTGCTTGTTGTGCTTTTATGTGGAGTCCCTTAGCTTGGCTGATCTCTGTAGCTGTCGTGTGGGGCACGGCCCTAACTCTGTCCTGTGTGGTACCCGGTGTCTCAGCACGTGTTCGTCAGGGAGGCGGGCAGTCTGCTGCTTCTCACCTCGGGCTGTGAGTTGGAATCACGAGGGATTACAAAGTCATGGAGCCTGGATCCCGTCCCAGAGCATCCCACGAGCCTGGCGTGGGCAGCGGGGATTTCGGCAGCCCCTGGACGGCCTGCTACGTGGCCGTGATGCAGGCTGTCAGCCGCAGCACTCTTTCCTCCGTGAGGTTGAAGCCTGGCTTTCTTATTTTAAAAAAAAAATTTTTTTTTTTTTTTAACGTTTATTTATTTTTGAGACAGAGAGAGACAGAGCATGAATGCGGGGAGGGGTCAGAGAGAGAGGGAGACACAGAATCGGAAGCAGGCTCCAGGCTCTGAGCCATCAGCCCAGAGCCCGACGTGGGGCTCGAACTCACGAACCGTGAGATCGTGACCTGAGCTGAAGTCGGACACTCAACCGACTGAGCCACCCAGGTGCCCCGAAGCCTGGCTTTCTTATACGAACGTCACAGACATGGACTGTCCTTCCCACTGCCCGTGTCCTCGTGCACTGCCAGCTTTGGGATCCACTGACAAACACATTGCTGGTGCCAAAGGAGCTCTGGGAGGGGACACTAAGCCCACCGGAATCTGCGGTGGATGTGACTCTTCGGACACAGACGCTGATGTGTCAGGTCCACGGCAGCCTCTGGTGGGGCCGGTGGGGGGATGGGCTCCAGGCCGTAAGCCAGGCTGTGGTGCGGCTCTGGGTAAAGTCACTCTCCCAGGTCTCGGTTTCCTCACCTGGGAGCTCTGCTTTTATCACTCACCTCCCCCCTTCTTACTTTTCATTATTTAAGAAACTTTTTTTAATGTATTATTTTCATTTGTTTTTTATTTTGAGAGAGAGGGGGTATGCATGCACAAGCAGGGGAGGTGCAGAGAGAAGGAGAGAGAGAATCCCAAGCAGGCTCTGTAGCTGTCTGTGTAGAACCTGACATGGGGCTTGAACTCTGGATTCGTGAGATGACCTGAGCCAAAGTAAGATGCTTAACTGACTGAGCCACCCAGGCATCCCTCACTGCTACTTTTTAAAGAGCCGTGTTTATTGAGGTGTTGATAGGAAAATTTGCCCGTTCAGTGAGGCTGACAACGCGTGGGACTCCACGGCACCCGCATAGTCCAGATCTAGAGTGTTTCTATCACCCCATAGGGTTCCCTGACAGTCCACAGCCTCCTCCCCCCATCCCCAGCCCCTGGCACCTGCTGAAGTGACCTCCAACCCCGTAGGTTTGCCTTTTCCAGAAACCCGTGTAGGTGACGTCACATGGCATGTGGCCTCTTGTGTGTCTCCTGGGACTTCCCAACCCGGATGAATCTGAAGAGCAAGCAGTGTGCTGTGTGTCGAGCGGCTCGTCCTCGCGGCTGCTGAGAGGCGGCCGTCCCAGCACGCGGGAGTGCCGTCACACCCTCTTCTCCATTTCAGACCCTAGCCGGCTCTTGCGGGAAGTTTGCCCCCTTTGAAATTAAAGAGCACATGGTCCTTGCCCCTCGGTTTCGGACCGCCTTCGACCAGGACCTCTGTGATCAGTTGGACCAGCTCCTCCGGCAGCAGAACGGCGAGTTCTCCTTCCTGAAGGATCTGAAAGGCCGGCAGCCCCTCAGTTCCGGACCCACCGTGGTTTCCAACCGAAACACAGACACCTGTAACAGGTTAGTGGCCGGGGCGGGGGGACGGTCGTCTACCTGTTGGTGAAGTCAGAGCACAGTCGGAGAGGCTGAGAAGGGAGGGGCCCGGGACAGAGCCCTGGGTTCTGGTCTGCTGCTGGCTTGGCTTTGGGCCACTTGTCTCTCTTCGGGCGTCCCATGAGCTCTTGCAGCCCCGTGTGCAGTGGCTTTGCAGGAAGCTGCTGCTGTGGAGTACGGATTCCTGTCCTGGCTTCCCGGACTCTCGGGGCAGGGATCTTGGTTCCGTGCCAGCCTCCCTGGGGGGACGTTTCCCCGTTCTTGTTGGTCTGCTCATTCTGCACCACCCTACTTGTATCAATGCTGTGGGCCAGCAACTTAGCAATCTTGTTTCTCCCTCCTCGTCGGCTTTGTGTGCCTGGAGTAAATGCTCCTTAGCTTCGTTGGGACCAGGCGGTCACCCGTCTTCGTAAGATGCTTACAGCCTGCTTCCTCGGGTAGCCTGGGTGGCAAGCGGGCGCGTTGCGGGGGAGGCGCGTTCCTGAGTTTGCTGGCTCCCCCTCAGCGATGTGGTGATCGTGGAGAGCGGCAAGGTCGACGGCGTTCCCGAAAGGAAGAAGTTTGGCAGGATGAAACTCCTGCAGTTTTCGGAGAATCACCGACCGGCGTACTGGGGCACGTGGAATAAGAAGACGACCGTCATCCACCCGCGGGACCCCTGGGCGCAAGACAGGGTGAGCACGTGGCAGACCTCCGACGGTCCAGGCACGCCTGTCTGCGTTTCCTTCTCGTCTTGCCTTTTGTACGCGGGTCTCCTGGATTCCACGAGTATTGTCGCTTTTCTGCTCTGACTGACGCGCGGTGCCTTTGTTTTCCCAGAAGCTCCTGGACTACGAGGTGGACAGCGACGAGGAGTGGGAGGAGGAAGAGCCGGGAGAGTCCCTGTCCCACAGTGAGGGGGTGAGCACCTGCCCGCGCTGGCTTCAGGCTTCGCCCGGAAGGCAGGCCCCGGGCTGAGTCCACTCGCACACGGCCCCCGCTTGGCCCACGGGGCTGCCTGAACGTTTCGGGCAGCCTCGAACGTCCCCATTTCCAGCTTGTCTTAGGAAACCTTACCTGGTGACACCAGCCCGCTTGGCAGTGGAGGCAAGAAGCGTCCTCCACTGTTACCTGGGGCCCACTTGCCCCCTGGTCCACTGTGGTCTCCGTACCCCCCCGTCCCCATCTCGCATCTGGGTGGCTTCGCGCGCCGTGTGGTACCTGACGCTGGCCCGCTGTCAGCCACTGGGATCGGTCCCCAAGTTTCTCCCGGTGCTTGTGGCGTCCAGAAAAACGTCTGCCAGGTGTTCGCAGGTTCACGTTCCAAACGAAATCGACACTCTGGGGCTGCGTGTCGTGAACGTCCTTTGTTTTCCTTTTGAGGATGATGACGACGAAGTGGGAGACGATGAAGATGAGGATGATGGCTTCTTCGTGCCCCACGGGTACCTGTCTGAGGACGAGGGGGTCACCGAGGTGAGGGGGCGAGCGGGGAGGTGACGGTCCCCGAGAGAGCTCGGCCGGGCCCCAGCCTGGGGCTGTGACAGTGATGCCATGAGGTTTGCGGGTCAGGGCACTAAACCGCGTCGGGTCTGTTTACGTTTCCTTAGCTAAGGTTGGAACTTACAAGAAGACGTGCGGTGAGCTTTAACAATTGGCATTTGTAAATCCATCACCCCAAATGAAATCTCGGACTTTTCCATCTCTCCAGGAGGTGCCCCCGTGCCCCTTGGTTAACCCCCAACCCCCACCACTGACTTTCTGGACCCTGCCAGACAGTGGAACTTTCGATGGCCTGTCGGGATGCAGTGTTTGGGCAGTGGAGAAACAGCCCCGGGTGGGGTGGGGGGGGGGGGGGGTAGGTTTTGTGTCTCCAAGTCAGACTGGAGGGGTCGATGCGTCTTACACGCTTCCAGCTAGCAAGGTGGGCACGTCTGAGGTGCCCACGAGCTCACCGGTGTTTGAGAATGGAGCCGGGCCCAGTGTGGAAGGTGCCGGGCCCGGCGGTTGAACTGGGCATGAGATTTGGGGTTGGTGATTTGAGAGCCTTGGCATGACATACTCACCAGGAAGTCCCGAGTGGCCTTGAGAGGCTTACTGGTGACATTAGGAAAGTACCTGAGACTTTTGCCGGTCGTGGCCAGAGGGAATGCTTCCAGACGGCAAGGGGCACACGTGCCAGTCACGGTTGAGTCTAGGGAAACAGTCTGCCGTTTCCCGGCTGGTAGCGTTAGGAGAGGGGTGCAGGACGCAGTGGGGCCTGGGGGTGCGGCGGCCCTGACTGCGGGCGGCCCTGCGCTGCCGCAGCACGCTCTTCTTCCTTCTCACCGTTCCGGAGGCGGGATGAGAGGGCACAGGGCCCCCGGGGACCCCAAAGTAAGCGTTGTTCTCCCACCTGCAAGGAGTGTGCCGACCCAGAGAACCACAAGGTTCGCCAGAAACTGAAGGCCAAAGAGTGGGACGAGTTTCTGGCCAAGGGGAAGAGGTTCCGCGTGCTCCAGCCTGTGAAGATCGGCTGCGTCTGGGCGGCCGACAAGGACGGAGGCGCCGACCTGAAGGTGCTCCAGCAGTTCACGGCGTGCCTCCTGGAGACGGTCCCCTCGGAGGAGGAGCAGACGCCCAAGGCCTCCAAACGAGAGAAGAGGGACCAGCAGAGTGAGTGCCGGTGCCTGGTGGGAGCGGGAGGGGGTCGGGCCCCCGGCTGTCCTGGGCCCAGGAAGACTTTGTTAGGTGTCTGGGTTAAAACGTGCAAGGTCTTTCAACAGACAACGAAAGCCAGTGCTTGCCGAGCGCGTCTGTTCACCCTTTAATACACCAGCCACACAGGGCAGCTACTTTAATTAGCCCGCTTCCCCGGAGAGCTTCCCCGGAGAGTGCCCATAACTAAGGAGAAATAGGCTCGTGGTGTCAGGCGTGGTGGTTCAGCCAGAGACCCTCCCCCCCCCGGGAAGCTTGGCCTTCACAGACTTTCTGCAGCTACTTCCTGTGTCTTAAACCTGCCCTTAGAAGGCCACCCGAGGGTGCCTGGGGCTCAGTCAGTTAAGCATCGGACTCTTGGTCTCCGCTTAGGTCTTGATCTCAGGGTCGTGAGTTCAAGCCCTGCCTCGGGGTCCACACTGGGTGTGGAGCCTGCTTTAGAAATAAAGTTGTGGTTTTTTGTTTTGTTTTTTATTTAAAAAAAAAAAAAGGCCCTCTCGAAGCTGACCGTGTGTCTTAACCTTGGTGACCGACCAGGGAGCAGCGTGCGATGTTTGTTCTCTTCTCCTCGTGTCTCCTGCCCCCCTGTGTCCCCTTCCCCTGCCAGTCTTGGCCCAGCTGCTCCCGCTGCTGCACGGGAACGTGAACGGAAGCAAGGTGATCATCCGGGAGTTCCAGGAGTGCTGCCGCCGAGGGCTGCTCGGCAAGGACACGGGCAGTCCCGACAGCAGCTCCGCCAGCCCGCCGAGCCCCGGCTCTTCCCGCCCACAGACCCCCACCAGCAGCGAGGACGCCGCCGTCCCCTCCAAGGCCAGGCTCAAGCGGATCATTTCTGAGAACTCGGTGTACGAGAAGAGGCCTGACTTCAGGATGTGCTGGTACGTCCACCCGCAGGTGCTGAAGAGCTTTGACCAGGAGCACCTGCCCGTGCCGTGCCAGTGGAGTTACGTCACCGTGGTGCCCTCGGCCACCAGGGAGGACAGTGGCAGCATCCCGGCCGTGGGGCCCGGCCAGGGGACGCCCATGTCGCTGAAGAGGAAGTCCGCGGGCAGCATGTGCATCACCCAGTTCATGAAGAAGCGCAGGCACGATGGGCAGGTGAGGGGCGGGGCGGGGCGACCCCCCCCCAAGGGCTTTCTTGTCTGCAATAAAGTGCATTTTTTAGAGCCGTTGTAGATCGGCGGCAAGAGTGATCAGAAAGCATAGCGGTTTCCCATACGCCCCCCTGTCCCCAGCTGCAGTTTCCCCACTGTTGACCCGGCGCCAGAGCCGTGCGTCTGTCATCACGGACAGCCTACGTCCACGTGTCCTCCTCACCCAGAGTCCCGGTTGACGTTAGGGGTCCTGCCTGGTGCTGCGTGTTCTGCGGGTTTGGGCAGGCGTACGATGGCGTGTGTCCACCACAGAGCCCCTCCACGGACCTGAACGTGCCCTGGGTTCCGTCTGCTCATCCGTCCTTCCCTCCACACTCCGGGGGACCACGCATCTGCTGTCCCCGTCGTTTTGTCTTTTCCAGAATCACAGGCTTGGGTGCACACAGCGTGTAGCCTTTTCAGATTGGCTTCTCGCGTCGCTCTGTGTGTGTCCGATTCTTCCGTGTTTTTTCGTGGCTGGATAGCTCGTTTCCTTTTAGCACCTGACAGGTTCCATGCAGTGACTTTTTAGTTTAGTTTTTTGTTTTGTTTTGTTTTTAACTTTCTAAAAATAATTTTGAGAAAGAGCGAGCATGAGTGGGGAAGGGGCACTGGGAGAGGGAGAGAGAGACAATCGCAAGCAGATGCGTTGTCAGTGTGCGCGTTGGGCTCGATCCCACCCACGAACCGTGGCTGTGATCTGAGAAGAAATCAAGAGTTGGATGCTCAACCAACTGAGCCACCCAGCCACCCCCAGTTTTTAGTTTTTTAAATCTTTTTGCTTTTACATTCACTTAACGTGACTATTAAGCATTTATTCTGCATCAGGGACCCCTGCTAGAGTTTGTAGGCGGTGATGAGCAGAACCCATCGGATGGGAGGCACAGATAGGAATTTGTCACAGGCATAGTGGCCTAATCACAAACAGGCAGCTCGGGAGCAAGTACCCAGAGCAGAGTGTGGGGACCTGGGGGGTGGGCGGCCTCCTGGGGACACCCGTGTGGAGTGGCCTCCGGGGCCCTCTGCGTGCCCCGAGGGGCAGGTGCCCCAGCGGCAGCCTTCGCTGATGTTGGGTGTGTCTGTTTTTTTCCTTCCTGGACCGTGAGTGTAACAAGTTTCTTTTCTATCCCGCCTCTGAGTCTCACTGGAAACCTATTTTCAGGATGAGCACTGGGTCCTCGTTTTAGGCAGGCAACTCAGAGTTAGAGGTTTTATGGGGATGAGACGGGGGGGTCTTAAAAGTCAGGTCTCCTGCTCACGTCCAGTGTCCTCTGCAGGGGAGGTGTGGCTTGGGGAGCTGTGTGCCAAAGGCCGGATGGTGATGCCCCCTCACGCCCCGCTCCTGCCCACTGCTTCTCTGACATTGGTCACCATCTGGCTTAGGAAATAAAGTGGCCATTAGAACAGGGAAGCAGGAGAGATTACTCCCGGGGGGGTGTCAGCCCACCTCCCTGCTGGCAGCAGACAGATGAGGCCTTTGGTATGTTGGTTATTGTTTAAGTCTGTTTATTTATTTTGAGAGAGAGAGAGAGAGCACAAGTGGGGGAAGCGCAGAGAGAGAGAGAATCCCGAGTAGGCTCCACACTGTCCACACGGAGCCCCATGCAGGGCTCGATCTCGTGAACTGTGCGATCGTGACCTGAGCTGAAGTCAGACGCTTAACCGAATGAGCCACCCGGGCGCCCCAGGCCTTTGATACGTCGTAAACCTTCCTTTTAAACTGTCCGTGTTACCTGTCCTCAGTGCAAGGCTGTGTGCAGGGCTCCGCCTGGCCCGTGGACACGGCTTATACCATGGGGAGCCCACTGGGTTAGGGTCGGGGCCTCAGACCCACAAACAACTTCCTTCCCTGGACCTCAGCCGAAACGAGCCGCAGCAAGCGAAGAGGGACCAGCAGAGTGAGTGCCGGTGCCTGGCGGGAGCGGGAGGGGGTCGGGCTCCCGGATGTCCTGTTGGGTCTGGTTTGTGTTCAAGCTGTGCTTGAGCCGTGGGAGCTTCTCGTGGTCCGTGCTGGTGTCACCCAAGCAGTCTAAGGAGGAAGCTGAGTGTGACTGGCTCCGGTTGAAAGCAGCAGTGGGAACGTGGCTGGACAACGGCCTGGTTTGTCCCCCATCTGAGCAGCAGCTGCAGGCCTCTGCCCTTCCGTCGTCCCTCAGGGCCCTGCTGTGTCCCTGTCTGTTTCACTGGCGTGGGTGAGAGTCACACGTCCTCGCGTGACGGTCACGGCTGCATCCCGAGCCCCACTGTCCTCTTCCACCCGTGGTCGTCCTCATTTGTGTTCGTGACCCACGTTTGCACGGAAAACCTTGATTTTAGCCCCTGTTACGCGTTTCCTTACATGCCAGGTACTACGGTAGGCACTTCATATGAATCCCCGTGTTTCATTGGCGAGCTGCTTCATCATCTTACTGAGACACCAGGAAAGAAAAAATGCTCCCAGTTAACCTAGGGTGACCCCCCCCAGGGGACTCGTGGATGCATGAGAAAGTGTGTGTCTGGGAATCCATGACACGGGGAGTCTCAGCTGATGATACATGCGAACAGCAACCCCGTGCTTTCGTTCCCCGTTCACGGGGGAGGCCTTGCAGAGGCTCAGCGGCGTGGGGAACTCAGCCGAAGGCCACACGGCACGTGAACCACGCTCCGGGCCCTGCGTGCGGCTCACCTGCTGTCCCTGGGGGTCTAAAACTGTTCTGGACAGAAGCACCACTCAGAGCAGACCAAATCTTTGGAGTCCTGGACTTGCTGGACCCAGTGGTTCTGACTCAGTAGGTCTGAGGGAGGAATCGAAAGCCTGCATTTTAAAAAACCCCTCAGGAAATGGCACGTGACGGGCCCAGGACCGCAGTGTGGGCCTGCACGGTGTGTGCGTCATGGGCTGAGAAGCCCGGAACACCCGGCTCTGGGGATGCTCCGGGGATGCTCTGGAAGTGGTTCCATGGGCAGCTAGCCTCGCCCCTGCTCTGCAGAGTGGGACACCCTCCTCCACGGTCCCCTCGTGTCGGGCCACCGGTAACGGGGCCCCAAAGCCACGGCATCAGTACAGGAGGGTTTGTCTCAGCAACGAGAGGTCCTCGGCTCCTGCGCTGACAGGCTCCCCGTGTCCCGCTCCCTCCTTCCTTAGTATGTGGCCTTGGTCCTCATGGTCACAGGATGGCTGTCGCCCCTCCTGCCCCCAGGACCGAGGTGGCAGAGGCTCCGTTCAGCTGGAAAGGGACACCGTCCCCGACAGACTTCCTCCTGAGTCTCTCTGGCCAGAATCGTTGGCACAGCCCATCAGCTGCGGGAGAGGCTGGGAAAGGGACTGGCCAGCAGCCCCCAACAAAACTCCGGCTCTGTTTTAGAAGCCAGGGAGGGGGGAATGGCTTTGGGGCACGCGCTGAGCAGGCCCCCCACCGCACGGCACCCACATAAAGCGGGAGACCCGGGGAGACTTCTAGAAGGTAGGTTGGAAGGCGCAGGAGCACGTAGAGTGCTTCCACTTGCGTTTCGGTAAAGCCGCCGGTGCTTCTGTACCCTTGGGGGTAGTTGTCGCAAACCCTAGAGGTGTGCAGATAGAGCTTTTAGACTGGGTTGGGCTGTTTTCATTTGTGGGAGTTTAAAAGTCTGTGGGTTCAAAGTAGTCCCGATACGCGTGGGTTCACCAGGTGCCCTGGTCAGTGAGCTGAGCAGGCCGAGGAGGGGCGCCAGTCCTGCCGCCGGACGTCTCGTGCGGCCCGAGGGTGACGCGAGCTCTGCGCCTCGGTTTTAGTTTAAAGCGCGGAGAGGTTCTGTGTTCCCTCTCCGGTCAGAAATCTGTGCTCAAGATGACCCGGAACAGGGTTCTTCCCAGCTGCCGAGCTTTGTCGTGGCCACACAGCAGGACTCGGGGTGTCCTCCCAGAGTCTCCCGGTGGAAGCCTGGCCCATCCCGGAGGGCTGCGCTTGGTGGCTCATCCGAAAACCGGCGGAGCCATGGGAAGCCTTGTTCACCTGCACTCGCGTGTCCCGTCTGCGGGGCCCGTGAGCGGGGACGATGGGCGGGTCCCTCTTGCCTGGCAGACCCTGCCAAGCGCCTCCTGAGTGGCGTAGTTGAGGGCCAGGCCGTCTGCTGTCCTCAGCCCGGGGATTCTTTTGACACGGGTGGTTGGGAGTCCCCCTTGGCGTCCGGCCGTTGGCAGCACGGCTCGCTCTGGGGGCCCTTGTCGTGTCCGTGGGGCTGCCCGGCTGGGCCCAGCGGCAGTCTGCACACCCCCGGTGGCCCTGTGCCGTCTGTCACCCCTTCTCCGGCAAAGGCAGCTTTCTGTAGCGGGGAAGTTCCAAGAGTGTCGTGAGAAATAGGCCTTCTGTTGAAATAGGCCCACCTCTGCCTCGGCTGGTTCTTTGTCGTTCACAAAGGCGCCCGTGTGGATGGTTGGTGTTTAAAATCAGTCCTCCCTTTCACGCTTTCTGTCCTCTCTGGTGAAAGCCAATGGAAACGGCTCCAGGATGTCGGTGGAAATTCTGCTGTCAGTGGAGGCCCTGCCTGGCCCCCGCCCGCAGTTGCTTGGATGGTGTTGTCCCTGGCAGAAGTGATCTAAGCATGAGTGAACCAGAAATCCAGGTCTCTAAGTCAGAGACAGTTCGCAGATAATGCTGGTGGTAGTTTTCGGAGATCTGAGTGAGGTCTTTTGACAAACTCCCCGTCCCCCAGGGCTCCTTTGCTGATAGGCTCTCAAGCAGACTCCTCAAGTTTGTTGCCAGAACAGGTAGAGGTGGAGGGTGGGGGGGGGCACAGCAGCCCCCCTGCCCCACCCGTGGCCCGTCTGCTTCTGCTGCTGCCGTTGATGGCCTGTGCGCCCTTGTCTGTCCAGGTTGGAGCTGGGGACCTGGATGGGTTCCAGGCAGACACGGAGGAGGAGGAAGAGGAGGACGGCGACTGTGTGATCCTGGACATCTCGGATGTTGGGGGTGAGAAAGGCCCAAGCCCTCCTCTTTCATCAGCCTGGCCGGAAGGGAAGAACGTGCCCTTTTTCTCCCACGCGCCTCTTGTCTGTATACAGCGAGGCTGCGTGATGGGACCCCAAAAGGCACTGGGTGGGCCGGGGTGGGTGTGGGCAGTGGGTTCCAGTGCGGGCCCTGGAGGGTCTGACTGGTCTGAAAGCTGCCGTGGGCACATCAGGACTGGACTACGGTAGCCGTAGCAGAAACAGGTGCAGTAATGGTCTGGCATTTGGGCGCTGACCACCCAAATCGTGGCACTGTTCCAGAAGCTTCTGAGAGAATCCACAGTGCTGCCCCTGTGGCGTTGACCTGTGGGCTGAGTGCCACGAGGCAGAGTGGTGGGGTCCTGGGGTGGTCTCGGCCGTAGACAGGGCTCAGGGAGACCCGGGGGAGAGGTGGGAGCCCGGTGGATTTCTGGGGCGGGGGAGGGGGGCAGGG